AATATATGGACTGAGTGACTGAGGCAAAGATAAACATGCAAAGTATAGTGATTCATAGCAACTAATCATGCTGCTGTAACAGCTCATAATTGTTGAAATTTGATTGGCTGTTATGGGTTAGTGCACTATGATAATCCAAAAAGGCCAAAGCAACAGATTAAGCATTATGAACTTAAAACAGTAGACACACTCATATTATTACATAAATAACCAACATAAACCCATCTTAAAATGCCATTCATATGAATTAAACCAAGTAGCCACTCTATAATGTAGTCTATGATAAGCAGCAAGAACAGATATGTCATGTTATTCTATTGCCTCCAATGTGTGCTAACAACTTTTTTTTTTCATGCAATAGTTGAAAACATTGAATGGGCTCTTTGCAGGTAACCTGAAGGTGTTATGTTTTGTTTGCCAAGTTAATAGAGTACTATTTTTTGTTTTCTTTTTTCCCCCCTTCAGATATGGAATACATCACACAGATTGCTCAGTTATAGCATCGGAATATTCATTAGATGCGACTGGAATAAAATGTAAAAAAAAAAAAAGACCAATTACCATTTAAGCACTCTAGACAATGACACAAAACAAATGGCACCCGTCTGCTGAAATTTAAATGAGAACCAGTTTGGATCCATTTGTTTTTACTGCTAGATTATTCCTTTTCCCCATTAATATTTACATTATGAGACTGAAGTCTCTGTAGTTTCTCATCAGAAATCCAATGCTGCTTGCCATTATATTCACTGAATTTCTCATGATGTTTTATTTATTATTTTTCTTTTAACAGCTTCGATTAATCCAGCGAATATGCTAAATGTATTCCCCTATATGGGAATAGATCAGGGCACAAAAAAAAAATGCTGGGGATGCTGCCACTGTTCACCTGGGTGTTGGCATAGTGTGTGGGTCCCTATTTTTTTTTGTCAAGTCGTACACACACACACACACGCGCACACACACACACAAAAGGGAACAAAGGTCAGCACCCAGCCGCCACCTGAATGTGAGATTTTTCTTTTTATTCCTCTTGATGTATAGCAGGCTCTGTGTTATTAGTCTTAATGATAGAAAATTGTAGTGTTGATACAAATTTTTTTTTCAAAGTAGTAGGCGGGAGTTCCATTTGTTAGTAAGTTTTTTCTGCGACTAAAAGCCACGGACAGTACATTTATGTAGCGGTAAAAGGCCTACGAGCTCCTTCCATAGCAGAGCTAATTATTCCTACTGTGACCTTACTGATCCGCACTGTTCCGAGAACATCTCATCTGCGCGCCCGTTCCTCTGTGTAGATGGTGTCAGGGAATATGAAAAACCCTATAATGAAACCATTTTCATGAAGGAGAAAGGCTACAGGAGTTGCACTTGCTACAAAGAGGCTCAATTATATGAGTAATTGTGATAATTTTCTACATTCATATGCTTCAATGGGGGGAGAAGAAAAAAGGAGAAAGAAAAAAAAAGAAAAAAAAAAGCCACAAGAGAAAATTACTTTAACAAGAAAGTGCAGAGTAAAAAAAAGGAGGAATAGACAAAAAAATGAACAAAAAAAAAAAAGAAAATAAAAAGTTAAAAACTAGATGTGGAAGGAGGAATATAGAGAAAGAGGAACAACAGATATGCTGAAAAGCTCATGTGCAGCTGGGTTGCACAATTAGATTGAATTTTTTTTTTTCTGCAGTTGATGAATGTGACCACCGCAAATGTGCCTGTGTAGTTAGCTATCATTTGTTGTTCCCTGACAGGAAAAGGATAATTACCTCTCAGAAAGAATCAAAGGCTGACATGCCCTTTAGACACAGCTATGAATGCAGAGCTCCATACAATGCCTGAATAAGAATTTCGTACTCGCTGGCCCTTTCCACATAAGAATACATTTTGTTAAAAAGCAAGAACACCACCAGCAAATTTGTTTGAACCCTAGGTGTTCGGAAATACGAGGGGCACCCATCGACTCATCCATTTTTGCAAAAATAAAACTGCATTCTGAATTCCATTCCATTATATTCATGGATAGTAAGATAGTGAGATATGCATTAAATTTCTCTTCCCAGCAGGGGTCTGATTCAACATTTCCTATAAAAGAAGAAAAAGACACTATCCTTTTTTTTCCCCTCAGATGATAGTTAGCCTATAATTTAAAACTGTCAAAAACACAATTTTGTGCAAAGTCTACAATAAAAGCTTCAGAGATATAACCCAAAGACGTTTTGCTAAAGTTAGATTCAGAATCAGTTACAACATTTCTATAGCAATAAATACATATAAATGATACATCAACTTTTTTGCCTCATTGTATACATTTTCTTCTTTTGCAAGAACCCTTTAAAAGGTCCATGGAGCAAAGTGCATTGTAGATTAGGTCCGTGACATCAGAAAACAAAATAAGGAATTGTCTTATCACAATCACTTATCACTGAAAATGTTAATACCTAACCTTATTTAACACTCTTTAAGAATATGCATACATTTTTTCCTAATATGAATTTAGCAAATATATGATTGCACAGTTAGTTAACTATATTTTGATGTATTTCATCTTATATCCAAAACTGACAGGCCGTGTTTTTTTTTTTTGCAAGTACTATTTTGCATATTTATTACTACATTAAGTTACATCAACCTAATATATATATATGCGACATATAGACTAAAAAACTAAAAATCTTAATTGTCTATGGGGCTGATTTACTAAAGGCAAATGTGCTATTCATGTTGCAAGGGAATTATCCCTTAGCTAAGTGAATGTGGGGAAAACTTACTTGGCAAAGAATAACAAAGCATTTTTGCTTGCACTTGATTGCATGATGAAAGTCTGCAGATCTTCAACTAAGCTAAGGGGAAGTTCCCTTGCAAAGTGAACAGGATATCTGCATTTAATAAATCAACTCCAATGTATTTTAACTGGTCTTGTAACCCTAAAGCTACTTGTAATCCCTTTACTTACTGTAATCTTTACAACAGGTTTTTCCATTTTTGGAGCATGTAATAAAATGTTGCCTTTAACTGAACCATTTAATGAAGAAAAAAACTGCAGCGAGTTACAGGAGCCAGTAAGATCCAACCTGACGCCACCATAAAATGTGTATGGTAATTGCCATGGGATACTACACTACGTTCATCATGGCTGCTCTTTACACCGGGTTACTGATAAATTTGCAAGTTTAACACCTTCATGACTGAGGCCCTTTTTTCCATTTTTGCACCCATGTTATATTCCACATTTTAGGCCTGAAAATGACGTAAAACCCCCCAACATTATATATTAAGGTATTTCATCACTGAACCCTTGGAAAAGTTAAGCATTGCTATTTAAATTAAGCACATGAATATTGTCATCAGTAATCAAACAAATAGGCAAAAGTAACATTACATGTACATACAGTATCTATCTATCTATCTATCTATCTATCCTTTTTTCTGCGCATGCACATATGCTTCTGCCTTGCAGCACTGGGGGTCCCTGGTTCGAATCCCGGCCAGGTCACTATCTGCAAGAAGTTTGCATGCTAACCTTGTGCTTCCGTGAGTTTCCTCCGGGTACTCTGGTTTCCTCCCACACACCAAAGACATGCTGGAAGGTTAATTGGCTCCAGTCTAAAATGGACCCTCGTATGTATGCATGTGAGATAGGGGCCTTAGATTGTAAGCTCCTTGAGGGCAGGGACTGATGTGAATGTGCACTATGTAAAGCGCTGTGTAAATTGTTGGCGTTCTATAAATACCTGAAATAAATAATAAAAAACATATGCAGACACAAGTTGCAGGCTTGTAGGCTGGCTGCCAATTCTTCTGAAAAGCCTATACCCACCCAAAGTTGTCTGCAGTTCTAATACCTAACTGCCAGTTGTTATATTCACACCTTGCTCTTTTGATGTAGTTATCTTAACTGCCCTAAAGGTAATTCACTTTTCCAAAATCTTTCTTACCCAAGGCACAATACAACCTGGTCTCTACACCCTGGTATCAGCGAAATGGCGGTTTTGAATCATAAAACATATAATCAGCTTATACCAGAGTCAGAATAGCCCCTGTCATATCTGCCAGGAGTCTCTGCTTGTCACACTACACACTAAGTTCACCTGATTGTGTTTCCGATAACAGAGAAAGGAGCTCCTGGCTTGCAGGCTGCAATTGCTTCGTCCCTGCATCTCCGGGCAGTCTCCACTAACTTCTGCCCGTTCTCATCCACGTTCCCAACAAGAAATGTTTCCGATGTGTCCCCATGGTATCCGCCACTATACACCTAATAGGGGAAAAAAAGTATGTGCAAGGTTATAGAAAGTTCATAATAATTAAGCTGCACATCGTCATTTCTCTTTTGTTTTTGAGATTGTAAAGAGGGAAACCTACTTTATATTTGTTATGTTAAAAAATAAAAATTGTTTTATTTATTAAGTGCTTTCACTTGCTTAAAAATCCTACCTAGCTTCCCTCCTAAAGGGGGGCACTGGGGTAATTTATGTTTAATGATTCCTGTCTGTGCTGGCAGATCGCATTATCAGTTGTTTACAAGATTAGAACACTGTCTGTCCTAACAAAGGGTTAAAAATCTAGAAGCATTGTATGTTAATGACAGGAAGCTCAGTGTGTGCCTATTCTTTCTCGGGGGACAGACTCCCTTTCAAACTGTTCAGAGTAGCTTGCAGACTGCACAAGGCCTCCCCTAAAAAAAACAACAAAAAACTACGAGGTAAGAAATATATTTTTTAAATAGTTTTTTTGTATGCTGTGTGAATGGGACACATAACAAACACATAGATGGCAGTTCTCAAATTTGACTGTGACAGTGGAAATACACTTTAAGACAAGGCAGGCAAGATATCAATACTCCATGTATGTTTTAATAAACCATAAAGGCCAAAGTTAGTATAAATGATAAGTCACTAGTTAAATGGTGCTTTTTGAAAAAAAAGTTCTGTTACGTTGCCTATAGTAACCAAATTTTATAAAAATTCTAAAGTTTGAAAATGAAAACAAACATCTGTTGCTGAAGAAAACATCTGTACTTTCCATTTAAAGCGGTATTTTTTAAAAATGAACCCTTGCAGTGGGGCTAACCCCACAATGCAAAGGGTTAGGCGCTCACTTTGTCTAAGGGGTGAAATAAAGATATACTCACCTGATCATCAGTGTCGCCTGCTGCTAGACCAGTCCCCACAGTCTCTTCATCCCCAGGCTCCAGCGGTCTAAAGGCCCATGACATCATCACGTCTAATATAGGTCTATTCGACCTGAAGACTCAAAGGGTCGTACCACAGCCAAAGCCGAGGGAGAGAGAGATCAGTTACTGCCACAGGATGAGGAGAGAATTCCTTCTTCATTTTCACTCCTAGAGAAATATGAGCAGTTAACCCTTGCAATGCGGGGGTAACCCCACTGCAAGTGTTAATATTTCAAAATCCTGGAGTTCTTCTTTAAGTAATTATAAATAAGAAACATATTAATATACATCTAACAGAGTTAAGAACAATATAAACATTAAAGCTGCACTCCAGGAAGACATCAGTTATATATTTATTAAAAAATAATTAAATGTATTTTTAAATGTAACTACAATAAGCCTCTTCTAGTCCCCTAAATAGAAAAATGCTCAAACTTGGAGAGGGATTAGCTTTCTGAGCCAATCAGGTGTGTCACAGTGCACTTGTGTTGACAAGGGATATACAGTATTAACAGGAGGAGGGATGAAAACAAGCAAAGGGATGACTGCTGCTTCCCTTCCAGTGTCCAATCACAGGCTGGGGGCAGGCCTAGCTGTACTGCATAACTGCAGTAGAGAAAGCAATCTGGTTGTGCTATCTGCCAGGGCAGTGTAAATCTCCAGACTGGGTGAACAGGAATAACAACCTTTGGCAGGCAAAACTGTGTCTGTATTTTAGCTGTATATTTGGCGGTGTGCCTGAAGGTCATCTTTAAAGGAAACCTGCACCGAATAAAATATGTAGGCTGCACTGCAACCACTGACCTCTCTTTTTGGGAATACCAGTGACTTCCCTTTCCTTCATTTATATTCCTAATGTCTCAGGGATAAAATGTAATGGGAAGTCACCTCAAAAGGAGGGCTAAATAAGGTAATAGAAACCTGGCAGAGTTTCAAAATTATCTTACTGTCCTGTTTATGTGCTAGCCATGATCTCTTCCTGCTCTGTATTACTCAAATCCTGTACAGTCACTGAGCCTTGGTGCTTTTTTTATATTCATGCAAATGTACACTTGGTACACATTTAGCTCCAGCAAGCCCTGTTAAAGCATACCAAAAGCCAAAATATTTTTTAGGAGATGGTTAAAACCCTGTCAGGTTTTTTTTTAGCCATCTGTGTCCCAATTGGAATATTTCCTTTCACTACTGGCCCCGTATATACAACAGGAAATCTTTCCAATGTGAGGGTGAGGAAAATACCTTCTTAGGCCATTGTCACTGGAACAACATAATGCCTGGCTCTAGTGAGCATCATTGATGATGTTTATAATGATTGCTGCTGGAACATACAGCTGCTGGACACAGCAGTAATCACAAAGTTCCCTTTTTACAGACCTAAATGTCAGGTGGCCAACTGCTACACACTGCCAAGAACTGGAATCTGGTTTCTCTTTACACTATGTCATGTAATAGAACACAGGATAACTCTGCCCCTGGTATACACTGGATATAGATTGAGTGGATGTGTATGTAGATTGGATATAAACTCGATAGAGAGGTACATATATCATATCCATTATCCATGTGTCAGGGTTTGTGCAGAAAGGATTGGGCCAAGCTATGCTGAAGAGTAGAGGCCAAAGAGAAGGAGACAGATACAGGCAGACATGATATGGGGTACAAACATGATCGTCATGTGGGGAGAACCATTCCCTGCCTCGCTGACACCATCACTGGGGCACATGCGTAGAGGGGAAGAGGGGAGGCAGAGTGATATAACAAAGATAATCTATTCTCCACACAGCACCCACCAATATTGCAGCCACTACACCAATGCAAGTCATAAGTAGGTCCGAGTATGGAGGTTTCGACCAGCCTCCCAGCATGCATTACCATCGACTAGGTGCGTTTCATTGCCATTTATATAAAAGCACCCCCTGGTCGCCATATACTGCAAAACAACACACGGTACTGCAAAACCATGCATTGCAGTGAAAAAAGGTAGTGCATGCATTGAGGTGCACGGTGGCCGGGAGGTGCACTGGGGTGTATGCTAGGTGTGCTGTGCTGTGTTAATCATGCGATTAACAAAACACTGGTGTGAATGGGCCCTCAATTACCTTCAACATCCTTTTAGGGGGCAGGAAAAGGAAAATAAGTGGAAGTACAATTTACAAAACAAGCCAAACACAACAAATAATGACATCATCACGACTGCAGAAGGTTACAAAGGGGTTTCTAATGCCTTAGGCACCCCATCAGTACATAGTAAAACAGTTTACAATTGGAAGCAGGCATCCTATAAAGATCATTGTAAGGGACTGCACAGAATTCTCAGACAGGTATCAAAGAACAAACTAAGGGTCTGCAGTTATCTTTTACACTTCATAACATCTGTGTTCAGAATTAAAAAACACTAAACAATGTTATACATAAGAGGTTACAGTAGAAGAGAAGATTGCCCTTAAAAATTCTGCGCATTTAAAGCATACTGAACTTCATCTGAATGTTACAAAAGCATTTCTGACACATTGTTATATGAGGAGAAGTGAGAAAAGCTGAACTTTTTACAACTGTAAATGTAGTTATCTTTGGAGAAAACAAAACACAAAGTTTGATCCCAACTGTGAAGAATGGTGGAGGGAGAATGGAAATGCTCTACTGCTTAAGGACCTAGATAACTCAAAATCAGTGAAAGGCCAGTGAATTCCAGGTTGTAATGCAGAATGTCAAGGCATCTCTGACTCAAAACTATTGTTTAAAGTTATTGCCAAATAATGAGTCTTGATAAATTACTGAAAATAGCAATTACCTTATTTTAACCCTTTATTCTGAACAAAATATGGCAACATAACATGTTGTGTATTGCTGGTGAGGAAAGCAATTATTCTTTATTATTATTAGGATGTAGATGAAGACCGGATTACATATTAGAAGGCATCCATGCACAAATCCACAAAAAAGGAATTCACAAACCTTCGCTCACAACTGTTGCAATACAAATTCTGTGCTGCTTGCTTTGTGATGATAGTTTAGGAGTATTACAAACTGACAATTTGTTGGCATTATAGAAAGAAGTTAAAATCAACTGTAATCTACATTTCAGCCTTGTGACAGAGCAGTTTAATAACGCTTTCCAGACGTTTTAAATATTAAGGGATTAAGCATTTCGTGACTTTGTAAGTACGCAGCATTGGTTTGCAGACAAATGAAACGAATCCCTTGCAGTTCATCACGTAATGTCAATAAATAGCACCTTGTCAGTCATCCAGCTCTATATTTAGCACCTATAAAAGGTGCACTTTACAACAGCCCACTTCCAATGTGGCAGCAACACACACAAAGGGCCAATAATATTGATAGCCCTCAATGGGTAAGTAGGGCCTGGCATTGAAGAGTCTATGTGCCTTATAAATAAAAGGGACCAGTCTGTGGATGGATGTTCAAATGTTTTTCTATGGTACTTCTTTGATTAGTGGAAACAGAATAGTTTCTCAAGCACACTCAGAGAATGATCCTCTACCACAAAGCTTGAAACATAACTAGAATTAACGGTGAGTTTTATTTTGCATAGGCAAATTATTATTTTTTCACCAAAGCAATATTTTGGTTCTATTAAAATTAACTGTTAACACTGTCGTTTTCACAACAATACTTCATTGGTGGGTTTACGGTTATCGTAAGGAACACTGAACTGTATTCCTGTAGGTAAACCAGCATCCTGGCTAAAAGACTGCAGGGAGAACATTAGGTATTAGAGAAGGGACAGGAGACTGGCCAATAAACTGTGTTCTGCAGTTGGAGTCATGCTAGTGAAACACAAACATTTCCCAGCACACTTACCAGCTAGCCTGCAAAGAAATGTTACACTGCCTAAAAATTTGCATTAAAAACCGAGGTTTTTGTTGCGCAACTTTTGCTAAATATTTGGAAGCCACACTACCTCATCAAGGCTCCTCTCTGTAGCATGGTCCTAACTCTAGTCTATGAGATCCTCCATCTTGGAGCATATATAGGAGGTAGCTCATTCTTCCTTAAAGGCACAGGGACATAAGTCCAGCACACCAAATGTTAACTGAAGCCCCCAGTGTGTTCCCACACCA